AGGAAGTACGTTTTTTTCTTTAAATTGGAACTGGCCAATAGCTATCTGACAATCCTTACAATTCCGGAATATGGACGAAGTATCCACGGGGCATACTGATTAGAGATGGACAGCTGATATTTCTCATTAAACTCACGCTGGGTACTAATTGAAGCTGAGTCGGCTCAGACGTCCGGCCTACAGCTCGTCAATATCCCGTTCATTTATATTTAATGTCTTACAGCCAAAACGCACGCGGCCCAGCCGGTCACGTGAACAGCTGATCACGTGACCGGCAGCTAAAGGTGATCAGCTGGTCACGTGATTAGGTATCTTTAAAAAAATACTTTTTAAAATCGAACAGCACAAAAAAATCGACTAACTAAAAAAACACAACATGAAAGGCAACGTGAAGAAGACAAAAAAAAGTAACTCTCCTGCCTCGAAAACCTCGGACCGGAAGCAGTCGTTCTCCCATAATTAATTATTCATTTGTCTAGCAGGTTTTTGAGGGCCCTCATCATCCCAATTATTGGGTTAAAGAAAGGGAGGTAACGTGGTTTTCTGTCTTACGTGTAGCCCCCCCTGGACCAGGTCAAACAAGATTGTCCTACCAAATAACGTTGGCATCTCGGTGGCCAGCCGACAGCACATCCCTCACGGGATTACTCACAGATGACCGGATGTTCAGGCCGCTTCAAAGTTTTATTACTGTTATTATTTCAAGTGGGGTGTGGACACTGCGGGGGGCATGAGATCTGGCGAGATGTGGCGAGGTGTGGCGATGTGTGGATATACAGGGGAGATGTGGATATACAGGGGAGATGTGGTGATGTGTGGATATACAGGGGAGATGTGGATATACCGGGAAGATGTGTATATACAGGGGAGATGTGGATATACAGGGGAGATGTGGATATACAGGGGAGATGTGGATATACAGGGGAGATGTGGATATTCAGGGAAGATGTGGATATACAGGGGAGATGTGGATATACATGGGGAGATGTGGATATACAGAGGAGATGTGGATGTACAGAGGAGAGGAAGATATACAGAAGAGATGTGGATATATAGGGGAAGATGTGACGAGATCTGGATAAATTGATGATGTGATTATTTCAGCAAGTTGTTGCTAGTTGCAATTCTGGATATCCCAGGCAGATGTGGATAGCTCTGAAAGATGGGGATAGCCCAGGGAGATATAGATAATTTGGTGGATAACTTAAAATTTTAGGTGGTTTTCACATTAAACAAATGCCAACTATAGCCAACCAAAGGCCAATACTAAGATGTATATCTATTTATAGATTTAATGCTTAATATTATTAAAAATGTGTGCCTTGAGTCGATGGTCAGCAGGACAGATGAAGCAGGGTTCATCTAAGTCCGTGTCCATGACGAAATTAAATAATGCCTAGCATTTTCCCCCACATCTGGTAAAACAGAACTGGATGGGTTTGGAAAAGTTTTATTATACAACAAATAAATCTTAAAATAAATCTTTGATAATGACAATTAATACCCTGCTGGACATTATATATATATATATATATATATATATATATATATATATATATATATATATATATATATATATATATATTTATTTATATATATATATAATATATATATATATATATATATATATATATATATATATATATATATATATATATATATATATATATATATATATATATATATATATATATATATATATACACGCGTATGTGTATGCATACATGTATGTATTCAAATGCAAATATATCAGAACTCTGTTCTCACAATTATGATTCGTCTACTGGACGGCTCATTATTTGATTATAACCAAGTGACATTATAAACAGCGTCAGTCGTCTGCTACACCAACTATATCCTGCTGCTCATCCTACGCACTCCCCCCCCCCCCTCCCCTCCTTTATCCGGTTGGTCTCTTGGCTGTCTGCTGCCCTAACTCACGCATGAGAAGACAACTACCACAGTCAGTCTCACGGTTCTTACCTCCCCTGCCCATCGCCTGTACAGGCACCCTGCACGGAGGATTTAATTATTAAAGCCCTCGGTCATTAGATTTTTTTTTATCCTCTCGCTCTCGTCAGAATCTCGCGTCTGTTGGCGACGAATATTCGAAGAAAAAAAATTTAAACGAATCTTAATTCTAGGATGTAACACTCAGTGCAATTAAATACCTCGCTATTTCCTCGCGTTCTTCAAACAGTTCAAAACATTCACGGGTTCAATTCTATTTTTAGAGCAGTAATAATGTACTATGAGTGGACCTTCCCTTCCTTGCGCTTTTAATAAAATAAAAATCGATAATAAATTTCAGTTTAAAAATATATTTTCTTTATTACTGATGGTTTTTTTTTAATTCAATAACTAATTAGGAATTTTAATGACTCATTACCAGATTCATGTTTTTAAAAAAATCAATGCGGTCTCTTGGGTAACAGTAAGTGGACCGATATTGGTCCACTGCATCAACGGTGGCCCACTGCAACAGTGGTCTCCCATTGCATCGACTGTTTTTGTTATGTCTAGCCGAAGACGAGGCGGCGACGAGGGCGATTTGAAATATGACAAGCGCACAATGTGGAGGGAGGATAGGGGGGTGTTGAGTGATGGTGTGGATGTAGAGTCGAGAGTGGTGGTGTTAAATGTGGATAGAATGTAGGAGAGGGGGTTGTTATTTAGTGTATAATTATATATATATATATATATATATATATATATATATATATATATATATATATATATATATATATATATATATATATATTGATTGTTGTAATTGAGTGTATGAGGGATGGTTGCTCTATGTTGATGTAGATGGGAAGTACGTGTGTGTGGCTGTTGATGTGTTTGTGTAAAAGAGTGGTACAGGAGTATAGCTGGAGTATGTCTGTGCAAGAAAGAGGGGGGAAGAAAGTGGTTGTTGCTGTCAATAGTCTACATGTCTAAGGGTGGTTTAATGCAGAGGTTGTCGGTTCAATGATGGCGATCAATACAAAATTCGCACAGCTTGACTCTAAACGAAACAAAACAAAAATGTATTTATACATACAAAAATTCAGTTTGAACCGATTTTTTTCTTTTCCATGGAAGTTAAATTTAACAATATGCAAGCCTCATTAACGAAAATACATATTGAAAATTCCATTGTATATTAGATAAAAAATATGTTGGGGCTAATTATTTTAGCTTATATACACGAGAAATGCTTGGGGTAAAAAAAACTAAAATATGCTGTCCAAATGACGAAACGATAAATTAATTAACGGCTGCGCTAATTACGTTATCTGCTATCATCCAATACCAGAACATTTTGAGCCTGTGTTCTGCCATTGACAAAAAAATATCATGTAGATGTCAGGGCACCTCGAGAATATAGAGCAACGAATTTGTTGGATTTTTAATCATCATCATCAATACCAGAACATTTTGAGCCTGTGTTCTGCCATTGACAAAAAATATCATGTAGATGTCAGGGCACCTCGAGAATATAGAGCAACGAATTTGTTGGATTTTTTTTTAACTGCAGGTTTAAATTTAAGGGAAATAGAGGGAGAAGAGAGGAGGGTGTCGCTAAAATATGGAATGATTTTTTTTAAGGCTAAGAGCCCCTTTAACTCACTTAGTGAACGCTCGCTTGCAGCCCCTCCTTTACTGGCTCGCGTAAAATATGACTGCGTTTAAAAAACGAGCTAGTTGTCAAGTCCAAAAACCCATAAACTCGATGGTGAAAGATTTTGGTTTTTTTATTCTTTTTTTTCTTTTTTACTTTCATTTTTATTACATAACTTAATGTGCCGAGTTGAGTGGGGGAAAAAACAAAATTAGTTAAACTGAGATTAATTTTTTTCTTTTAATTTTTTTCCGCGTGTAAGAACAAATCAATGACGCCTGACTTTTTTATGTAATTTTTTTTTTCATAATGATCCCTAGAACCTTTTTTTCTAGGCCAGACTTCATAATGCACAAAAAATGCACTTTAAATTTTACTCCATCTTAGAACTGGGTTTTTTTAAAAAGTTAATACCCTAGGGAATTAAGCGGCGACTGGGATGGGGGGGGGGGGGGGGGGGTGAAGGATAAGGATTATCCAGACTAATCGTTAGGCTACATTTTTCATTTGTTTGGTCCAGTATAGCGAATCCTAAGCAAAAGTAAAACCAATTTGACAAACTTATCACAACAAATAAAAATTGCAATCTCTTAACTAGTCTGGCCCTTTAGCCTAGGGTTTAAAATAAAATGACGGGGGGGGGGGGTCTTGGTCAACATTACCAGGAATTATCCGCCTGCCCCAGAAATCAAACCCTTCAGGCCCGAGCCCCAGGAAAACTGTATTTATCCCCCCCCCCCCCTCCATCCAAGATGACGAAAGATGATATCGCCATCAGTAATTAAACACGCGGCTACTTCAACCAGAAAGGATGATTTATTTTTTCCCTCCCCGTTCCGGGCGTGACTTGTCCCCGGGTCAAGCGTGTGAGAACCGCGCTGCTGCTCGCACAGATAAAGAGATTGTTGCCGTTTTTCTTCAAATAGAAAGAGCGTTAATAAATGCAGTAGAGGTCAGATGGGCGTGGTGGACGGTGAAAAAGATGAATTCATGGAGGCATCCATTTTTTATTTTTTTAAAGGCGGTTGGGGTTGGGTTGGTTCATTTTTGTAAAAAAAAAAGGACTGTTAAATGTGTTAGTGTGTTTGCGTTTTTAGCTGAGTGAGTTTGTGTCATCATGCTGATAAGGGTGTGGGGGTGGAGTAGGGGGAGGGGTAAATCAATCGACAAAGCAGCGTCAAAAATCTGATGGTCAAGACAATTAGCGTTACAAATCTGATGGTCAAGAAGATTTGCGTCACGAAGTGGTTGGTCAAGTGGATTAGCGTTAAGAAATCAAAATCGAGATTATCGTCAAGACGAAATCCTCATATCGTTAATGTTCAACTACTCCAGATAGTGTGAGGTTAAAACAAATTCAAAATTTTTCAGTTTCACGAGGGGGATGGCCTTAATGGATTCAGAGGCCAACAAAGATTATGGCCAGAGTATTGAAGACAAACAGCTTCAAGTACCAATTCAACGAATGCAACACATAGACATTTATACAAATTATACCTGCACTGGTTAAAAAAACAACACGAAGCTACATACTGCAAAAAACATGACGCTCAGTGTTACCCACTCCAACGAGATGCCTGAAAGAAACTCTGGTATACGCACTGCAAAAAACAGCACTCTTATATCTGAATGAACCCAAAAACCACCACGTTGCAACTCAAACACAAACCTCCCAAAAAAACCAGCTCGCTAATGTATGCATGAATTCTTGGTGTCGTCTGCAGTTTCTCTATGGAAATATCCTCAAACAAACAGGCCAGTTAGTGAATTATTAAAAACATCGCGTCGAGAGTATCCGCTTCAAACCTCGCGCGATCGCCACCCCCGCCCAATCCGCCAACCCCCACCGCCACCCCCCGTAATTTTCAACAAGAAAGACCCGGGGTGACACCGGGGGGTGTCTTCTTATGTCATCAACGTTAATTATTTATAACGCAATTTATACTCGCGCACGCCTCGGCCGGGATACGCTGGCACCCACCCCCCATCTAATCCAGCCCAGCGCGAGACCTTGGGAGGAAAATTAGTCCTGATCCCATGCACGGCCACGAGGGCGGGATTACCCGGGGTAACTCTACCCCATCTGATATTGTTTCAATCATTACCATAGGCATGTGGTGGAGATAAATATCGAGGGCTTAATCTATCAACCTCGGATGAGTGCATATTCAACAGCGGATCGTCTATCCGACATCAAAAGGTATCGTTTACCGGAGTAAGAGTTACTTCAGTAACGGTTTATATTTTTTCAAGTATGTCTTTATATAACATTAAAGAAAAGCAGGCTGAAATCAGAGTCAACGGGGCATATGGCACATATCATGTTGACACGTAATATATAATAATCCCGTTCAACGTTACAATTAAGAACGAAGAAGCAGACATATCAGTACGTTTACCGTACGACCCTAACTTTTCCAAAGGAGAAATTAACTTTTTAAAACGGATCAGAATAAAACCGGAGCCCTCAGTCCCCGGTAGATAATGCAAATCGTGGCGACAATCGCCCGCAGTCGCCAGAGCTCGCCCGAGAAGATCTCCATTCCCTGGGTTTCAATACGTATCTGGTCTACAGATAATTGCCGGTATCTGATGAATTTCAAATCGTCCCGTTGACCACGGTAACTTGTTCTCCGCGGCGGCCATTACGCCCGGGTGAAAGGGAAAGAACTCGTAAAGGGACGTAATTACCCCTGACAATGGCCATAGCCCCGAGAACTAGGCGAGAGAAAAAAAAATGTATTCACTTGTGTTCTTGATTACGGTCACGTGACGAGGGTGGAAACCGAAGAAAACTTGAAGAAAAAAACTTTGACAAGGACTCGGAGATTTATTGACCTTGTCATTGAGGTGCTGACCGCACCATCAGTGGACCTTGCATTATGAGGTCTGTAAGGTCCATGGCAAGGTCTTTAAGGGTGACCATGTTGACCCCCCCCCCCCCCCCCCCCCGTTGGTCGTGTATCAAGCTGATCACGTTGAGATCAAGTTCTGCAAGTCGTAGGAAGCGTCCTTAATTAGCTGACCGACCATATTGTCTATTTGCAGCTTCTTTCAGGAGTATCTAAAGAAATAGAATTTAAATAGAAAAAATACACTTAACCAGTGTCCGCTCCACCACTCCCCGGAAACTTTCAAGTGCCCCCCCCCCCCCCAGACAATGAAGTCTGAAAGAAACACTGCAAATGTATACGTGAGTTGACCAACATGGATACCATACAAAGGAGCCAAAGGCTGGGACATACAATCTATAGATCGTTTGCCCGAATTCCTTATAGATATTTTCACGAGACTTCTGAGACACGTGCATGTGATGTTGACCCTACGAGTGATGGCGTGCATAAGATGTTGACCAAAAGATGTCATAGTGAGCATGCTGAACACGTGCATGTGCCAAAAGATCCTAGAGTGACCAAACTGACCGCGTCCATGTTGTGTGTACCCTACGAGTGATGGCGTGCATAAGATGTTGACCAAAAGATCCTAGAGTGAGCGCGCTGACCACGTCCATGCGGTGCTGACCCCCACTAGTCCTGTGTCTTAACGAACAAGTTGTCCAGGGCGGCGCCCCGCTGCTGAGGGGGGAAGCAATCCAATCCTGCCGTTGGCGTGGAGGATGTAGCAAACAGTTGGGAAGAATGGAAGTGGTTTGAGAAACAAAAGGAGTGGGGACGGGGTGGGGAGGGTGATGGGAGAATGTTTGAGATAGTTTCGAGAATGGGGAGGGGGGGTCGGGGGTCTTCATTGGGGAGACTGTGTTTAAAGGAATTAAGGCCAGGGGTGGGGCGATAATTAGAAAGCAGATTTGCCGGTGTAGAAAGAGATTAAAATGTGCAGGCCCCTGGCGGGGGTGCCGGCGGGGTGGGGGCGGGATAGCGACTATGAGTGCATAAAGAAAATGGAAGCAACTATTTTTTTTTCTCTGATGCACCAGCCACGTTTTTAGGGCGGGAATTACACCCTCAGCCAGCTAAACCGTGAATAGCTCTGGGCCCCTGACCTAAATAGTTTCAGGCTCCTAACCTTCAAGCTCATGTTCCAAATAGTTGCAAGACCCTGGCCCACGCCAGCTTTAAGATCCTGACCCACACAGCTTTAAGATCCTGATCTGACCCACGCCAGCTTTAGGATCCTGACCCACACAGGTTTAAGATCCTGACTTGACCCAAGCCAGCTTTAAGATCCTGACCCACACAGGTTTAAGATCCTGACCCACACATATTTAAGCCCCCCTCCCACCCGCACAACTTTAAACGCCTGACCCATACATATTTAAACCCCGACATCACACATCTTTAAACCCATGAACCTCACATCTTTAAACCCTTGACCCACACATCTTTAAACCCCGACACCACACAGTAGAACACAGACAAGATATCTGTAAAAGAACCCCAAAGAAGAAAAAAAAGAACAAAGACGACAGTCTCGACGTTCTCTTTGTTATGTAGGAAAAAACAATTCTAAAAAAATATTTCTTTTCATCATATTCATTGTTTAACTACCAGAAACTACTATTTTATATCATCCGAACGTAACGTTAACTAGGACAATATAAATTTATGTCAAGTTCAAACTACATAAAACGTGTTGTTAGTTGTTACTTTCTATAGCCCTTGTATTTGAGTTTGTCTCGGGTAGATCAATATACCGCTGCAGTATAAAGGTAAGACTAGACCCAGACAATAACCACAGACTCAGACAGACATCAGTCAACAAGCAGACCAACACCAAAACCGCAGACAAATTGAACGCATCTAACAGCAGAATCATTACGTGTTCGTCTGCTTTGTGATTGGCTGTTTTATGCCCCACGTGGGTAGTTCCGGGTCTCCAGGCAACAATTTCCAGAGAAGAATTACCCGGATGTTTCGCGCGTGCACTCTCCAGGAACCGAATCAAGCAGCGGTCAGGGCATTGAAGACTGACCAGAGGACTTGTTCTAATGTGGACACTCAGGGTCCGGTAATGGTCGCGGCATCAGGTGTGTAACGTAATTAGCGGGGGCGGGAGTGAAATCAATGCTGGGTGGGGGAGGGGGGGGGGGTTCTTACCGCGGTGCTGACCGCTGGGCGCATGGGGTGGGGAGGGGTGGTGATTGAGATAATAATGAAAGAGGTGTCCGGTAGCGATGACGTAATGTGTGGGTGGGGTGGGGGTTGGGAGAGGTTATAATGGTGGGATGGAGGCTGGGCAGGTTAGGGTGTGGTGGGGTGGGGTATTTTGGGGATGAGATGGGGTTGGACATTTTGGGGGTGGGATGAGGTTGAACATTTTGGGGGTGGGATGGGGTTGGACATTTTCGGGGGTGAGATGGGGTTGGACTTTTTGGAGGTGTGGGTTGCGTGTTTTAGGGTTGGGATGGGGTTGGACATTTTGGGGGTGGAATAGTATGAAACGTTTTAGTAGATGGTATTAGGGTTGGATATATAGCGGTGCTCTTTAAAACACCATTTTGTTACGTATAGGGAACTAAAGTGATAAAGTGCTGAACAATTTAAGTAATTTATGTAAAGGGTATGTGTGTTAATAAGATATAGAGTTGTATAGTAGAAAAGGATGGGCGTCGGGTGTGTGTAGGAGACCGCAAGAGACTGTACGCGTGGTGAGCAGGAGATTGAAGATGTGTTGAGGAGGTCGAGAGAGAAGAAGGTAGACAGATACGTGTAACCCTATGTATATACGAGTCATGACTCGACAAGCACAGATATGTGACTCCAGTCATTTAGTGCGCACAAGTTTTTACACACAGATAAACACATGCACGCGCGCGCAAGCACGGGCACGCATGCGCTGTCCGGTCGGGTTAGTCACCCAAACCAAGACAAGTGACCCGGTAGTCTGGACCTGACATACAGGGGAGACAAGCAACGTTCAACAAATACAGTGACCTCCTCCCATTATCGGAGATCGTTTAAGGTGATGGGGTGGGGTGGGGGTGACCGGTGGTGCTGATTAGCGTGGTTGTTGTACAGGTAAAAAAAACAAAACACCGCCCGTGTGGCATGACCTGGAGTGGTCAGGTGCATCCGTGTCTCACGTCTGTCTAGGGTAGGTCAATATCTGAAGATTTGTGTTTGATTATGTAAGAGTTTTCTCTTTGAAGTGACACTACTCATACATGTACTGCACTTAATTATAATTGAGATGTTAGCTACAAAATGTGGTAGAAATGTTAGCTACAAAATATCGTGCGAATGTTGGCTACAAAATGTTACGGAAATGTTGGGCACAAAATGTCATAGAAAAATTAGGTTCAAAGGGTTGACCAACTGCCCAACATACTCGAAATGACCAGGGAATGTGGTAAATCGTAACCAAACTAATAAAAACAATTGGAAGACGTGAAACTAGCATGAGCGGATACTAGGAACAAATACCCGAACAATAGCTTACACAATATACACAACATATATATGATATTGTTTGGTTGCTCAATCCTGTTTGACC